CACAGACACAATCGTCAAAATCAGCAGCGATGAAGGTAGCCTTCAGAAAACGGGGAGCAGAAAATGCGGTGCTGTGTTGAGAGACAATACTCGAGTCAAACTTTGAGGTGAATTAAGTAATCATTTACAGCCCTTTGTCTCGTCACCGGACAGAGGTCTCCGCATTTTTTAGGTCACAGGAGTTGTCTGACCATACGTCATACTGGTTTGCGTGGATTGGTGAAGTGAGAGGCGGGAGCCATGATGAGTTCAGATATCACTCATCACTGAAATTATCTGCGGCTAGGAACTCCGCTCGCTAAGTGAATGATGCAGGCCGATAACAACTTGTTCACCACTCTACTGCCATATTGAAGCGTATGTCATCCAAGATCTATCCACTGCTGGATGAAGGCCTTTCCAAGCTGTTTGCCATCTCTCATGTTATTACGGATTTAAACCATTCAAACAAATAGATCCTGCGCACAAGCTGCTTTCATTACTCCAAACGTATTACACTGGATACAAAACCTGTAATGTGATGTCCATTTGTTACCGGGTATTACACGCTGTCGTGCTGATACAAAGTGCATTGTTCAATTATGTGAGCAAGCAATGCATTTGAAGGGTGTAAAAATAGTTGATGCAATTGTGTAGCAATTACCGCTCGAGACAATTTAATGAAGAAGTTACTTTTAAAGCATATCATCAGTTGCAATATTCGTGATTAATGGGAGCACTTACATAAATGCGTTTTGTTAAGTTTTGATAATGGAAAACCCCAGCATCGGCCCTGTGATAAAAAAATATAATTTTCCATTTGAAAGTAGAAGCAGAAAGATAATTCACTTTGATTGAGTCCTTGCATGTGTTTGTGTGGGTGCCATGTAAAAGGCACAAGTCTGCATCATTCGCGTACCCTATGCACTTCGCCTACGGATGTCATTGTTCGTCTTTGCGAGTGATTATTGGGGGGGGGGATGGATGATTAATACAACGTGCACTATATAAAAGCCCGGTTGATGGAATCTCTTCCATCTGCACACACACGCCGACGCACTGCAGGCACGGTGGCTGGGTGCACCGGCCACATAGAAAAGGGCACAGTGACACAAATGATCAGCAGCCACTCGTTGCAGAAAGGTGGCTGAAGGTACAACGCATGTGTTGCACGTCGGGGTCCCTCGCCAATCGCCCCATGGTCATCATACTCATCCGTGATCAATCCGCTGCTGGATGAAGGTTTCCCCAACCATTATCATTTCTCACGGTGCCGTAATGCAATAATCCACCAAGCACCAGCACATGAGCCGATTTCATAGTTTTGTTTACTCGGTGGACGTCCTGTCGTGCACACCGATTCTTTCTTGGCTGCCACTACATCATTATTTTTAACAAAGTAAATAAGCAGACCATATCTGTCAATTCCGAATACAAAATATTATTGAGTCACATGAAAAAATTAATTCAGTGTCTCATTGGCAAAGTTCGACTTGCTCGCACAAACCCTGGTGAACTGTCAGATGTTTACAGGAAAGGATCCTCTGTTTTACATGGATAGTAGTTAGATTGTTCTTGATCATCTGGCATCATTCCTTCTCAGCAACGTGTCGTGCTGAAGGCCACTTGGCTTAACAGTTTGAATGATGTCATGAACCTGTGTATGTCCTCTCATTCATGTATTCCTCCTACAGTGTCTCAATGCAATTTTAAGCATGCGCTTGTCCACGCTACTTTGCCCACTTTTGAATTGATGTTCCATGCAATAGTTAATTCAAAGTAGTAATTCAAAATGTACACTTAAGAAAACATAACCCACCTCCACCACAGCTCTGCTCTTTCATAATAATATAGGACATTGGAATCTATGTTACCATCTACTACAGCCTATCTGTTGAAGCAAACATATCTTACTGCAGTCAAAAATGGCAATGCCCAAGGCGTTGTTAGATGTTTTAATTTTGTAAATTGTATCTACAGCTTGCCCAGCACAACAAAAATATTCCATCCCAGCGCATTTTGTTAAATGAGATATATTTGCTTGAAATATGGAAGAGGCCACCAATCGAATGCATAATGTTCTTGAATAAATGTGTTTTAGGAAGCCAAATAGACGCATGAAGCTTTAAAGGGGCGGTAGCCTTGATTTGAGAATTAAAACTACACCATTTATTTTAGATGTAAATAACCCATAATAGCATGAAGAAACGTAATTTGTTAATTTACTTGCTGCGTCAATGTTGGGCTTTATAGAATACTAGAAAGGAATCCAAAACAGTTTCTGAATATGGTTACAATTTAAAATATTCAAAAGTCCACCACCTTTAATGGCAAAAAAGTTATTGAGAAATCCACAACATTTTTTTTACTTTTGAGTCTGCCCTTCAGAGGGTTCCCTGTTAATGCATTTCTCGGGGTGTAAAAACACTACTTACAAAATCAGCGCTCCAAGTGTGGACGCATAGCAATTAACACAGCACTTTTTTTTTTACACAACAAAAATAATCAACGCATTCGGCAATAACACTGCCCTCAATCGAACACATACAATAAGATGACGTTTTGGCCAAAAGCCATTGTTCACAACAGACAGATGGAAGGGCCATTGCCTAAAACGAAGCCTCTTTTTATTTCTTTCTTTCTTTTAAGGCGGTGTGTGCCGAGTTTTATTTTTTTTTTAACTTGTGCTTGTGCACCGCTGCCAATGCAGTATCGAAAAAAAATTCTTACACCGCCGTCGGGTTTGCTAAGGCTGTACCGTGCGTTGTTCGGCACGACGTCCGACGTTGCGCTGCATGTGCTGCTGGGAGCTTCTTCAGCAATAATAGCTGGGTTCGACGCTGCTCAGAACACCAACACCAAGCTCTTTTGAACTCGGAGTAATTAAACAAGAGACAGCCTTAGTTTGCGACGTTGTTTCCCCTTCCTTTTAAAACGACGCCGAGTTGATCTGTGCACGAGGTGATGGTCACGTAAGCAGGCGAGCGGTCGGTGGGTGGCGATCGCGTGACAAACATCACGAGTCATCGCCAATGTTCGCTCACTGACCCCTGCAAAGCCACGGACGCTCTCCCCACGACGTCTGTTGCTTCACAAATGAATCGCACTGCACAGAAGAGAGACTCGCCCGAGTCACAAAAAGGGGGGTCTCTTCGAGGGGGGGAGGAAGTTGTTATTTTAAATAGAGGGAGGTGGGTGGGATGGTGTGACATAATGCGAAATCGTGCTCATGTACTACACGCTTTTCAGCATGCGTTGTATTCGGACGTATTGAATTACCGGTATGGGAGCCGACTGCCAGCGAAAGCTGAGAACAAAACAGGTTTGTGCATTTTACTCTGACGTTGTTTTCTCCCGAGTTGTTCGGCAACCCCGCGTGAGTCACCTTCCCTAATGTCGACGCAACTTTGTACGGTACAAACAACTGCACTGCAGTTGGGCATCGTATTTTTATTATTTTGTACGAACGTCATTAGTTCCCACCACCGGGTGCGGACGGAGGATACGAAACGCACCGACGGACGCACTCGGCCAACGGGATCGGACAGAGACGCTTTCGAACGGCAGCGGTTAAGCAGACGTTCCCGACGGTTGTGAAGACTGCGAACAGCACTCCGTCACCACGTGCAGCAGTCTGCGTGGTGTTGCCTGTGGTTGGCAAGGTGCATCCCCGCTGTTGCGAACTCTCGCAACCATCGCTCGATCTGCCCATATCGTGGTTTTGTTTCGGTTACTCGTAGACTACATCTTGACTTACAGCTTTCGTGACTGCAGGAATTCAAAGAACCATCTACGCGACTTTACCGAAAGAACCAAAGAATACTCGTAGACTTTTGTCTGTCACGTTCTGTTTTGTGTATACTCTTGCCTTGTCCTATTCCAGCGCCTCGAGGTGCCTAAATGTCTTTACGCGCTCACCTTGCAACCACTTCTCGCGGAAGAAGTCCAGCAAACGTGCGTATTACTCGAGTGCACTTTTTGTTGCAAACAAAACATGAATAATTTGTGATGGGTTGTTTACGTACATCGACTGCTGGATGAAACTTTTACCCAAGTTGATCAGCGTGCGTCGAAGGTTGTGTCCAGAACTGGTTTAGTTATCACTCGCCACTGATGTTAGCCGTGGTCAGGAATCGGTTGAAGAACTCAGGTTGCCGGACTAATAGCGACAGTGCGCTAACCGCTGTCCCACCACTCCATCTCTCCTATAATGCACAATACAGTATAAACATCTGACTAAAGGCCGAAACTTTCTTTGATCCACTGAAAGCAAACAGCACACACGTTAAACGGGTTAAGTACGCTGAAAAGTTTAAGCGCGGAATACGCAATTAGATTATGCGTATCGCGAACATCGCTGCCCTTCAAATATTTTCACGCAAAACGCTCTCGGCGCAGTAAGTGGGTGTCTACAAGTTACACTCGCACACTAACAAATACCGCATGGGCAGGATAAACGAGCGGCGTTTATCGTACGCGGGCGTTGTGCTGTTGAGAAACGCTTTTGCGTAAACGCCACTCTCGTTGCGCGCAAAACACACGAACGCGTGCACCCATCAACAGTCAACCCATGCCACACCGCACCAGTGTCTTGACAAACAATACGAGTTAATTATAAAGCGCAGCGCTTAAAAACATGAGCGCGTCAATTGTCGCGCATTGAGAGCGCGGATATCCGCGCTTTGTCTCCAAGGGCCGAGGAATGGTTGGTGGTTGACTCCAGAGGATTTGTGGTCGATGGACAACGTCGTTCAGCACGTACGAGCGGCTCACCTCCCCCCCCCCGTCTGTGTGCTCTCGTATTGACCATAAAGCTCGGAGGGAAGACGCGCACAGATTCGATGGTGGAAGAGGGGGGGGGGCAGTTACGTGCCCGTAACGACTGAAGGGGTTACTTTGGTTTACTGTGAAATAGGGGAAGAGGAGAGGGAGGTGGTGGAGGGCGGAAGGGGAGGATGGTGGGGGGAGGACGGTAGGGGAGGAGGAGGTTGTGGTGGGTGGGGGGGGAGGTCTGGGAACGAGTGGCTGAGAATGGAGATGTGGGAAGGGCCTTCCGGCCCCAGTGTTTTAAAATGTGCTTGTGGCCGCGCGAGCGCACACAGCAGCGGTCCGTGGGTACACGAACGACGCGAGTCGGAGCTGCGCTGCATGGGAGTAAGAGGAGGAGGAAGGCGACGGGAGGAGGTGAAAGGGGGAGAGGTGACGCAGCCCATTTTCTCACGCCTCAAGTTCCAGGCACCTGGTGAGCGCAACGCCCTTCCCTTATGTCTATTTGGACAGCGGTACGCCGGACAACACGACTATTGCACAAACAAGTGCAGAACGCGCCTCGCGCTCCGAGAGGTATTTCATTTATCGACAGCCTTTCGGCGTTTCGAATGGAGTTATGAACTCGTTTCGTCACGGTAGTAGCAGCATCGGCAGAGAACTATCGCTATGGTTCGACACCGGACACGTGCAACGAGTTCAAGTTGATGTGACGAGCAGCCTGTAGTGACGTGTCGGCGTTGTTAGTAGGGCTGCAACATCGGCTGCTTCTAGAGCGCATTCATCACGCACTGCTTTGCCCCATGAGTCAAACTCCAACAAGCGCTGCGACTCCGCGCCCTGCACAACCAAGATGCAGAACATGAGCGGCCCGGCGGCTGCGAGGTCAACTCTGCTCAGCCCGTACACCGCCTTCAACTTCACCCTCGCCGAGCCCGAGAACGTCAACGGCGCGACCAACTCGTCCAACGGGACCGACGAGAAGTTGGGCTGGGAGTACTCGGTGCTGGCGGGGCTCGGCTTGTCGAGCCTGGTGCTCATCCTCGTCTTCGCCACGGTGTTCGGCAACTGCCTGGTCATCATCGCCGTCCTCACGCGACCTTCGCTCAAGGCTCCCCAAAACCTGTTCCTCGTGTCGCTGGCCACCGCCGACATCTTGGTGGCGACTCTCGTGATCCCGTTCTCGCTCTTCAACGAGCTCATGGGCTACTGGTATTTCGGGCGCGTGTGGTGCGAGATCTACCTGGCGCTCGACGTCCTCTTCTGCACGTCGTCCATCGTGCACCTGTGCGCCATCAGCCTCGACCGCTACTGGTCCGTGTCGCAGGCGGTCGAGTACAACATCAAGCGCACGCCGCGCAGGATAAAGCGCATCATCGTGATCGTGTGGTTCATCGCCATCGCGATCTCTCTGCCACCGCTCATCTCCATGAACCAGAAGAACCGGCAGCAGCAGGAGGAGGTGGGTCGGCCCAACTGCGAGCTCAACACGAACACCTGGTACATCCTGGGCTCGTGCATCGGCTCCTTCTTCGCGCCCTGCCTCATCATGGTGCTGGTGTACGCGCGCATCTACCACCTCGTCAAGTGGAGGGCCGCAAAGCTGCGGCGAGACAAGGAGGCGCCCATCACGTCGTGCCGACCGATGGAGTCCATCAGGATGAGCGAGGTAAACGGAAACGGCGGTGGAGGAGGCGGCGGCGGCGGCGGCGAGGGGAATGGCAACGGAGAAAAGAACTGCAACGGCGCCGGAGACAAGTCTCGCCACCATCCTCATCATCATCCTCATCATCATCCTCCTTCTCATCATCATCCCGAGGTGGACGTGGAGGAGACGTCGGTGTCTTCTGACAAGAACGAGCGGAGGAGGGACGACGACTCGGCGGGCGCAAAGGCGAGCAGGAAGCCGTGCTCGCCGACCAAGGACGACTACAATCCTGAGATGGAGATCCTGGAGAGGCAGAACAAAGCGCGCGAGCGTAGAAAGATAGCGCAGGCGAGGGAGCGGCGCTTCACCTTCGTGCTGTCCGTGATGATCGGCGTCTTCGTCATCTGCTGGTTCCCCTTCTTCTTCACGTACAGCCTCTCCGCGCTCTGCAGCCCCGAGTCCTGCGCGATCCCCGAGACCCTCTTCAAGTTTTTCTTCTGGTTCGGTTACTGCAACAGCTGCCTCAACCCCGTCATCTACACGGTGTTCAACAGGGACTTTCGGCGCGCCTTCAAGAAGATCCTGTGCATGCAATTCCACGCGTCCTTTTAGGCGACGCAAAAGCAAACAAACTGTCGTGACTCCGCTTAATATGTTTCTCACGAACAATACATTTCAATCGAGGCAACATGCGAACGGCTTGATTTCAAAATGGACAAAATTAATGGTGAGTTGCGTATTTTATGAGTCTGGAATACATCGTGGGCATTTGATTTCTGCTTCAGCGGCCGTACAGGTAGTTGTTACACCACGAGTATGGAACGGAAGTGGGGAGAGAGAAAAAAAGTTGTAATCGATTTGCCAGACACGCCTTCATTGTCAGTCGCAGGAAAGATTGACGGACAGAAAATGCTTTTCCTTTTGAGAACCTACCGATACATGCCCACGTACGTACATACGCGGGCACACAGGGTTGGTTATTCACAAGTCGGGAAACAATAGGGACCCCCCCCCCCCCAGCATCACTGCAAGGAATATCTGCTCACATTAAGCACACGACTGCGGTGGTTGGGTGAAATGCGCTTTTGAAAGGTGGAGGACCGGAATTTTGTGTCGACAAGACGTCACTTGCTGCTATTCTTGGACATTCTGCTGCGGTGATGTCCTTGAGCTCCGCAATTGTCGAGGAAAGTTTTCCGAAGCACAGATGCGCTCCACGTAATAGGAAACAATGCAGTTAGAATCTGGAGACCCTGGGAAGTGGGGGGGGGGGTGCGCTCGCGGTTGCATTGAGTGTTTGCTATTTTTTGTCTCTGATCTCTCATCACCCAAGTGTAATTCCCGTGGAATTGTTCTTTCAAGCCATCAAGCAACCCACCTCTCCAAAGCGTCTCCTGTTCCCATTATTCCTGGCTTTTTTGAATGCACAAATACAACCGTATCCTTTGTAACTGGCGTCACTAACCGTATTTTTTATCTTGTTTTGTTTTGAGAAACGGGGCGCTGTCTTTGTTTCAAAACCTTGGCTCTGTGGCTCGGTATATTTGTATGCTTTGCGGTGTGATTGAATCGATATATCAACATTTTTCTCGACGTGCTTAGCTTGAGTCAAGAATCAATGTCGATAATTAAACCGCCGGCGAGCGAGTGCCGCACCCTTTGTTTTGTTAACATTTTATTTTACACTATTTGCCCATCATTCGGGAATGCTCAATCGAGTAATGCGTGGTGATGGAATCAAATAGCCACATTTTATCATCATCGGTTTAATATGTGGAGTTGTTGCATTGTTCTGATGTTTGTAATGTGGAGGTAGCAATTTGCTATCTTTTGTAGCACATACAGATGTGTGATAAATAAGTTATTTCATTAACTGTTGTTGTGGTGAGATGACCGATATTGAGAAACTGGTTATTTTTTTAGCTCCCTCTTTGTTGTTGTTTTTTTGTATTCAAACCATTATTGTGCCAAACAAACACATTGTTTAAAATGCTTACTTTTAAACAGCAAAGAAAATGTTTTGTTTTATTTATTGCTTGAATATTTTTTTCGTGTAATTTATTTAGTACAAAAAATCCACATCTAGGATTTCATAATTATACTATTGTATTTAAATTTATTTTAACGGATTATAAAGTTGTTCCTCTTTTAGCGATTTCTTAATTGATCTGTACTTTGGTGTCGCCGTGACATCTTAGATATGGGTTCTACCCATCCAGCTGAACTTAAGCCAAGAGTGTCGACTGTTGCCATAGAAGCGGTGTGTTATCTATAGCTTTTGGCTGCAGTGGCGAGTCCATCATAACATTGTGGGGACGTGGGTGGGTCCATTCTAATCGCAAAAACCTCACCCCAACCAAAATATACCCATGCATGGTAGGCGGCTTCGGGGAGGGTTTAATTCAGCAGTGGATTGACCATAGCTGATGATGGTGACAGGTACAACACGTCCAGCCAGCCCGTTTGTCATTCCACTGCTGGATAAAACCCTCCTCCACACCATGTGTGTCATGTGGGTTAGTTTGCCATAGTTTGTCAGACTGGTCAGGGCGAGTTGGTGAAGGCGGGGAGAATAGATATGGGAGCATATAAGTAGCCGCCTATCAGAACCCAAGCGTGCATGGTGATCACCCGTCCAGGAACTACTCAAGCTCAAACCTTGGTCTGAAGAGGTCGTAATACACAGGGTCATTTGCTTATAAGCTATTCTTGATTGCAATGCAGTGTAATATTATTTATGTACCCAGGAAAGCCCCAATGAGTCTGTAAGATGTTTTCTTTCATGAGGGTCATGCTGCTTGTTCTGTTTTACACTTCTTTGGAAGTGTTAGAACATTTAAAGTGCGTAGAAAATAATGCATACATTTGAGAGGGTAAAGCAAACGATCTACTCAGATAGCCCAAACGTATACATATAATCAAGGCTTATTTCCCCGCTGAGTGTTTTCCGGGTCGCTGGTAGACTGGAGTAGGTTGCAGGACTAGTAACCCAGGCCATAGCGAGGAGTATACTGGATATGGTATGCCGGGTGCATGCACGTTTCCTGCGCCGCAGACTTGGACATATATTAAGACATTAAACCTCGTGTATAATAATTTTCGTACGTCTCTAGAGCAGTCTGCAAGCACGGGAGGCCTCCCAGCAGCCGGGGTTCCCACTGGAGAAAAGGAGAAAAAAAACCCCTAGTCGTCCTCAGGCCAGAGCAGATGAGTACCACCCAAGGTAGCAAAATATAAGTCGTACCGATTTATTGTATTTTTATGGCCAGTAAGAGTGAACGATTGATAACCCTACTCACTTTAAATGGCTATCCGATAATTCACTATTTGATCATATAATACATTGGATCCACTCAAGTTATGCCACCGCAGGTGAAACGGACTGGTGAAATATTTGGTCTGGGCTCATGGGCTACACGTGGGATAAGGTGTTGGTCGGCAAACAAAAGAAGCCTTGCCACGTGCGGTTTATTGGTCGTCCACTAAGCGATGGGTTTATCAAGAGTGTAATTGTGGCCATGAATCACTCTCGAGGAATTTGAGTGACCGGGAAATGAAACTGCATAATGCGCTCCATACAATGCATCTTGCGGAATGCAATTTGCTCTTCTCATTGTCTCATCTTTGCTTCTATGGATGTTACATCAGCCAGCGTGCATGCATTTGTTCTCACTGTGCTCTGCGTATATGAGAGTAGTGCTACGACTGCCTGTGTCCTGAGAGATGGATGAATCTTGTTTTACATTTTACTTTTGCACTCTCTATTGTATGAATAATTGCCGTCCCCCTTTGCCTCTTCAATTACCGATTAAGTACCTAGAATATGCGATTAAGTACCTAGAATATGCGAGGGCTTTACTCTGGGAACAGTGGCTCGCATCGTTTTATTGTGAGTTTTCGTTCAAGAGGCAGAGGGCGCGCCCATGCCGAAAGGGGCGCAGGGAAGAAGTTTTGCCCTCGTTGCCAGAATTTCAAAGCGGCCGATGTACACCAGACACTTTTTTATATATTCAAACAAATGTAATGGCTAGGTGGATTGTTTACATCGCAGGATCACAATAGATGCCAGCGTCTTGGAGAGGCCATCATCCAGTAGTGAATTGGCCATGGCTGTTGATTATTACTATGTAATCTTATTTTAGAATTGTCTTTCTTGACACTCCACGGGTGTGGGTATCAAAGTGAATTCTGTTTCCCAAAATTAGTTACTTTGAATAAAAATTCCGCCCCCCCCCCCCCCTCTGGATTGATCATGTGAGGGCACCGCTGCATAGAAGTACAGTATAGCCAAATAACTAGTAGCTTAAGAGTGTTTTCATTTTACGTTCTGGCCTGACATCAGAAGCAGTTACCTGCTCGGGCAACTTTGGGTAAGCTTTCAATACCTGGATGGAGAATAACTGAACGCGCCCCACTGATCAAATTCTCTTGCTGTCTAAATATTTACAGTTTAATTTTTATTTGTGAAGGGTGTTGTGGAGATACGAGAGACAGGAGGATATTTTTAATGTGTCCACAAAAGTCTCAAACAGAACCGCAGTAAAATACAATTAATCAAAACGTTACAAATTGAGAGTGTCTGGGTAGCTTTTTTTTGAAAATTATCCTATCCATGTTTATTTTTTTAGAAAACCCTTAACCAAAATAGGCGTCCAAGTATTATGTAAAGTACAACTGAGGAGACTTGAAGTTCAGTGTTGAATGATGTGTGGGAAAAATAGCCATTACTCTCGTGCCAGAAATGTCAACAGCCATGAATTATATTCTTGGTTCTTTCGGTAAAGTCACGTTGAAGGGAAACAATAAAATAATAATATATATAAAACAATAAAATTCTCACGACGTTTCGACTGCAACACAAGCAGTCATTATCAGGTGTGAAAACCAACGGCAAGAACAAATGTCGTGAGAATTTTATTGTTTTATATATATTTTATTATTTTATTGTTTCCCTTCAACGTGACTTTACCGAAAGAACCAAGAATATGAATCGCTGCGGTCACGAAAGCTTTAAGCCATGAATTAGGTTGGGAAAATAGGGAGTTGTCTGGGTGTGTCCTCAGAGGCAACAAATTGTGAAAAAAAAAATCCGCATTCCAATTGTTTGGGACTTGCACCCCAAGTAAACGATTGTTTACTTTGAAAATTACCTTTTTTTCCCAGAGTGTTCTTGGTGTTCCACTTTCACATTCAATTGCACCATCATTGTTAAGGCCCTCCATGGCAGTTGTCACCCAAAATGTAAAGCACACGGTGTATGTTTAAAAAACGAGCTGTGCCTTGTGAATAGATATTGAATATATTTGTTGTTGGCAAATTAAATAAACATTGCAAGATGAAAGCACCAGCATGTGGAGTCTTGATTGTCCAATTAATAGTTTATGTACAGTTTGAATTTGTTTTCATATCATGACTGTAATTCATTTCAATTTCCACGTATAATTTAAAGGCCCTTAATTAACCTACCGCTGTTGAAGGCCTATCCACGCTGTCGTTTGTGGACATTCTTTGACCATACTTCACCATGCTGGTGAGTGCAGGTTGAAGGTGGGCTATTCAGAACTGGTTCAGATATCACTCGTCTCTGTTGTTGGGAAAAGAACGCAGGTCACGAGATACGTAGCGTAGTCTGCTAACCGTTTCATTTAGATGGAAGGTAATATTAACTTTTTTTTATTATTTTTTTAAGCACATTGACATGTTGCTTTTGATTATCAAGTTCAGTTTTACAAAATTAATCCAACCTGCATTGGTTCGCATCTTTATTTCAGAACTTTTGATTCACGATTTTCCTTCAGTAATTGCCGTATGTGCAGTTGTGTCCTTCCAACATATTTT